TACTCTTATCAGCTCAACAATTCAGAGGATTAAATGTGCTCTTAACTGCTCTGATATTGAGTAAAATAATATATCAAATGTTTGTTACTGTGAACATTAGAACTTCAAATGTAATGTCTATTGCTTAAAGTATAACTAGATATGTTATTTTATTGTCGTTATCATAATTTCGTTGTGATTATCGTTGATATAGTCGTAAAAAAAATATGATTTTAGAAGTTTTTCATTAATAAATAATATATATGAGCGCTTTATTGTTATTTATATTTATAATTCTTTAAAGATATATACTTATATTTAATTAATATATATATAATGTAGTATATTTAGAAACAAATAATTTAGTTATTAATGTAAATAAATAACTAATTTCTACCAATTACACGTCAAATTTTAATTTTTTCAGATCAAATCAATTTGTACGTAAAAATTAAATTAGTTTTCTTTTTAACTTTAACTGAATAATTTATCTCCATAATTACAACTTTTTAATAATAATTTAATTTAATAATAAGACTAATTTAATATATCTTTTGTGTTATTGCAACATGTTGAATTATTAAAAATTTTCAAAAATTAATACAAATGCCTAACTTACAATAAGAGTATACATTTTCAAGTCCAGACCGAAATGTTGAACTTGAACCGATTGTTTGATTCATTACAGAGAAAATATTTTTTTAGTGTAACTCTAAATTCACTTATTACGGTATTGAAAAAATTTGTTTGTTTATTTTAATGTAGTATTATGAATTAGTTTATACGAAAATTATAAAATATAAAATAATTTTAAATTTTATTTTATTTTTAATTAATTAATTAATTAATTTAATCTTGATTGGTCTGGTCTAATTAATTAATTTAATCTTGATTGATCTGGTCTGGTTCTCACTTTATTCACATCATAAAACGAACACGTTGCCTAATCTTTCTAATGACATGACACGCACCCAAAGGCCCGACCCAGAGAGAATCCCCACAGACACTCATGAGAGTTGTACGTGTCACCTTAGCGTTAAATAGGCGCCACTTTGCTTCTCTTGCGCCAAACTCAAATCATGGGCTGGGCGTCATATTCGCCGCATATCCTCTCTTCACCTGCCACCGAACCTGATTCCGAACCAACCGTGGCTTCGCCTTGTGGGTCTTATGAAATCAATACTTCGATAACCAGACTCTCACCCTGGAATCCCAGATTTCAAAAAACCAAAAAGCCAAAAAAAGAAAAAAAAGAAAAAAAAGGAAAAAGAAGACATCCGGTTAGGTATTTTCTTTTTCTTTTTTTAAAAATAATTCTTCTTTTTTTTTTTCTACTACCCTTATTGTTTGCATGTTCTCCAATCTTTTTTTCTTTTTGAAACAACACGGAGCACATACACATTATCATACATATATAAATACCGGCCACTTCTATCTCACTCTTCATTTCCTTGTTCGTCATCTTCCTCTCTCTCTGTCTCTCTGGTTTTCAGTCTACCTAGATAGATCGAAGATTTCGTCCGTTTACAATGGCTACTACTACAGAGAAGCTCTCTCAGCTCAAGTCTGCTGTTGCTGGCCTCAATCAAATCAGGTGTCGGTTTCATTCCTCTTTTTTTTTTTTTTTTTTAATTCGGATTAATTTTGTTCTATTACTGTTGATTGCTTCCGTTTCTTTCTGATATTTGATGGAAGCTTTTGTTGATAATTCGGATGAGCTAGATCAGTTGCACGTTGAGATTGTGAGATCCTGGATCTGGTTTTGATTCTTGTGCTTGATTTGTTTTTTTTGCTCTACTGTTTGTGTTTGCAGTGAGAATGAGAAGAACGGATTCATCAGCCTTGTGACGCGCTACCTCAGGTAGCTCGATTTGGTTGCAAATGATTTTTTCCGTTTCCATTTTTTAGGCTTTCTTTTTCTTTCTATATTCAGATTCCTCTTTTTGTGATTCGCGTAAATTATTTTTTCTTATCGCTCTCTTTTGTTTCCTTGTGCTTTCGGTTATATTTAATAAAGATCACATAAATAATTGTAATACTGTTATGCTCAGTGTCTCTTCTTTGTAATAAGTGATGTTAAAAGAAATTCTAGGTTCGCTTTTTTTTTTTTGTTTACATTTCCATCAAATGGAACGGAGTTTTTCTGGTTTACTGAAGCGGCTAATTAGTATTGCCTGTTATGTGAAATTATGCATTGAAGTGGCGAAGCCCAACACATCGAATGGAGTAAGATCCAGACACCAACTGATGATGTAGTGGTTCCTTACGATAGCTTGGCACCAACTCCTCATGGTAAATGATCTACGCAATGGAATTCTTTGGGGAATTGGCTTGCTTTGCTAGTATCTTTATTACAACTTACAATTCTACAATATTTCTTGTTTCGACATCACTTTTTAGTTTCAATAATATAATCTTCGGATTGGATGCAGACATTGGTGAAACCAAAAAACTACTGGACAAACTTGTTGTGCTAAAGCTAAATGGAGGTCTAGGAACAACAATGGGATGCACTGGGCCCAAGTATGTTGGTTGATCTAATACATATAACATTTTTGGTTTGCTTCTTGCATGGCATTTGCATTTGCTGCTGAAATCTCCTTTAAACACTGGATTTATATCAACCTAGAATTTACAAGCAAACACGAATAAATGGCTTTGACATTCTTACTTCTTGTGGATTCCATGCCCTGGCTACTTTTGTATCCTAAAGTGTAGACCAAAAGTTTTTAAATTCCCTGTTATGATGTAGAAAATTTTTACAATATATAAAATGTAGTCTTCTTCCTTTGTGTTCCGTGGTTTTATCATACTTGGCTTAATATTTGATAGCTTTAATGTTGGATCTGTTTTGTCCTCATTTCTTGTTTATTACATGGCATTCATATAGTAATTGAGCTAACTCTCAAATATTTGCTTTGTGCATTGATAACAAATATAATAATGATAAAATCTATGTACTAACATTATATGTGTCAGTTGATTGATTGTAATCTCTTATGTATTTCTTTTTTTTTTCATATGCAATACAGATCTGTCATTGAAGTTCGTAATGGATTGACATTTCTTGACCTAATTGTTATCCAGATTGAGGTAATTGTTCATTAGTTCTGCTGTTACCCCTGCTTTCACCTCTTATGATTGTTACTGAATCAATTCACTGTTTCTTATATTTGTAGCATCTAAATTCAAAGTATGGTTGCAATGTTCCATTAGTCCTCATGAACTCATTCAACACTCATGAAGATACCTTGAAGGTAGCTCACTTTTACCTTTATTTCTGATCTTTCTCTCTGCATTTTTTATTAGATATCATGTGTAATCTTGTTAATTATGTAGATCGTGGAGAAGTACTCAAATTCAAACATTGAGATTCATACTTTTAATCAGGTTTGTAATACAATGTCAAATAAGCTGCTGGATATCAACTCATTAATTTATCAAGAACTGAAAGTAGGAACTTATTTCATTTCCTTTTCTTTTCATTCACACAGAGTCAATATCCCCGCCTTGTTGTTGATGATTTTAGCCCACTGCCATGCAAAGGAAATGCGGGCAAGGATGGATGGTATAGTTTTCTTCACTTTATAGTTTGGCATTTAGTGGGAGTCCTGAATTTACCTTTTTTCTGTTATGGGGCTGAGTCATTGCATTAAAGATGGTTCACAGTCTGCAAGTGCTCTGATATTTTGTACCTTAAGTTAGAAAATTGCTCACTCGTAAAGGATTCGGCCTTCACATAATTAAAATTAGTAACTAGAGACAGTTAATGAATACGGTCTATTAAACTTTTGACATAAAGATGTTTTCAATTCACATGGTGCTTTGTAATATTTTGGAGAGTTTCAATTATCCTGAAACAGCTGTATAAAGTTAAAAGTTGAAGGTTAACTTTGTCTTTCTAGTTTTTGAGGTTTCATTTATTAGAATATATTGTTATTAGTGCCAGAGTTGTTGAATACTGCATTTGATCATTATCAGTTTCCATTAACAACAACTATAAACATTTGAAGGTACCCTCCTGGCCATGGTGATGTGTTCCCATCCTTAATGAACAGTGGCAAGCTTGACGCATTCTTATCACAGGTTATAACTGTCATATAATCTGTTAATATCTTATGCAGATATATTCTTCAGATGTCGTCATGGATTTATTCACACTCCTAAACTTATTTTGCACTTATTTGTCATGGCAGGGTAAGGAGTATGTATTTGCTGCCAACTCAGATAACTTGGGAGCTATTGTTGACTTGAGTATCCTTTTTTGGTTCACAATGGACTCTACTTTCAATCTTGAATCTTTTTGTGTTACATGTTTCTGTTTTATGTATGCAAATGCACGAGAAGCAACTTCCCTGCGAGCTGTTTTTTGTCCTTGACAACATGCTTTAGAAATCTTGCATCACTTGATCCAGAACAAAAATGAGTATTGCATGGAGGTATAACGGATTACTAAAATCATATGCTTGTTTCCATCCAAAAGAAATCATTTGTTTGCTATAAGATCTTCAATGTTATACAGGTGACACCCAAAACCTTGGCCGATGTGAAGGGAGGCACTCTCATCTCCTACGAAGGAAAAGTTCAGGTATGTTCTAATTTATTGTTGTTTTCTCATTTCTTAGTCAAAAACTTCTGTTTTCATTAAGTTGTCAGGTTGTGAAGGTCAATTTTTAGTTAACTGCCATACAGGATACAATTAGTATGTAGGTTAATGGAAACTTGAAAATTGTGGGTATGCAAGTTGCAAAATGACCATGTAATCTGCTAACTTGTAACTGGAGCTCATAGATGATAATCAAACTCCAATAAATTTTTTATATTTTGCAGATAACAGAATCCTCGTCCAATTGATTGTTTAGTTTTTTGATAACACCAGGATATATTTATCCTCTTATTACGATATGAGTATATGGATCAATATGTTATATTTGACTGTTTGAGTGTCGGATAGTTCAAATTTTAGATGTTGGAATTATGAAAACTGGGTTTCTTTTCATATTGTACATGCCACCATCACCATCTTGAACCAGAGTCTCCCCCCATGGGGCAGCCAGGTCGTGACCGCTTTTATTAAGTGCCCTGGCTGGATGCCTGCCATAATGAATTGCTATAGTAATTTGGATGGTCTCTCTGACTAGAGCCTTAGGTTTTCCAATGATGGAAATTGAAAGGGAATCCTATTTCCAGTTAAAATCTTCCTTTGCTTCACATTTTTTTGTGTATGACGAGGACTTGATATTGAGATGCAAATAAAATCCAATAACAAGTTTGGTTCTTATTTAAAATAAAATCGACACCAATCTTGTTTTCCAAACTACACTAACTTAGTATAATTCTTATTTTAAAAATTTTCCTGGTAAATTTTAGCATATGAAGAAATCTTGTCTCAAATCATGTTACAAATGGATCTTTTTCCTATCTGACTTTTAGGGTTAAATATGGAATTTTAACTAGTAAATGGGAAAATATCTCGATGCTTTCTTTGTTGAGTACCAAATCATTTTTGTTACTATTTTACAGTTGGTCAACTCTGCTTTTGCACTTTGATACTATCAGTGGAAGTTCATAGGTGGTTTTGTCCCCTATGCAAACACTGTTAAACAAATTAACAACCAAGTTCTAATCAAAATTTCTTCCCAAGATAAAACCAATTGGAATACACATGGAGTACATATCCCATCCTATAATTTTTTTTGAAGGAAAAAATAGATTCAGTGGTAATGAAATCTGAAACTCACATTTCAGGAGCCAACTGGAGCTTAGCTTGGTTGACAATGTTATGTGGTATGTAAGGACCTCAGATTACATCCTCCTCACCCGAGATTTTATCTTGCATCACATTCTCTTGAATGGGAAAGAACTTCACTTTCTATTACACACCATTGTATACCTTAACGTTTCTGCTAGTCTTAGATTAGAAACCCATTTTGTTCCAGACCATATATATTTTGTTTAAAGATCATATCCATCTCTCTAAAAGATTTTGGAAAGCGTATTTGATTGTTTTGGATGGAAACCTTGTGTTTTTTTATCTCTTAGAAAAAATAATTGATGTTTTATCTGCAGCCCTTCTGCAATTTCTGTTTTCTGCTTGCTGTTTGTTTTTGTATGTGGATGCTACCCTCTTTGTGCATCTCAGGAGATCTTTCCTCTTTTTTAAAAAAAATATCATTCACTTTTTGGAAGGCTTGAGCATAAGCTAGATGACTGTATTCAGTAGTGTATAACTATGAACAAGTGGGTATGGCTTCTGGTATATCCATACTCTATGTTCTGCTGGTTCAATAGGGCTTGCTTTTTAATTACAGGCCAATTACATCTTCAGCTGAAGAACTTGAAATTGGTAACATAGGTGATTTAACATGGTTCATGTGAAGCAGCTCTTGTTTAATAGTCCTGTTGCTTTTTTTTTTTTTTTAAACAATTGTCGCATTGCTTTTCTCCTTTTATGTAGGAACTTCCTTATGTAAGAAATCATTTCACAGTTTTTTTTTAAATAATCAAATGTCTCTATGTATCTTATTTTTTTCCCATATTATTGGATGAATAGAAATTGTATTACATCTATTCTACAATTTGACTGACATTTTTATAATTTAATTCAGCTCCTGGAAATTGCTCAGGTCCCTGATGAACATGTAAGTGATGCATTCTTCCAGATTTTCTCTTTTAGTCAGTAATTTAAAGCTCATGTGATCTTTCTTTTCCTTGTCAAAATTATGATTGTCATAATGTAAGAGCCCAGGACCTTAAAAGACGGGAATCAGCAAGGTGCTGAGCTCTTACATTGACATGACACTCACACATGAAAGTGGGTGTTTGGGTGGTGCATTTCTTTAATTTCTGTTTCATGGGAAGTTTTGGACTTCTAGATAAGTGGGACCAACCTCCTTTAAGATTTTAGTTGATAGAGTTGCAGTTGCATTTCACTCTGCCTTGTCCCAGGCATTCCTTTATGCTACTTCTGAGATTTCTGCCCCTAACTCTGTAAGATGTTAGGTGCTTCCCTTTCTCAACAGAGCAGCAAAAACACATGCACAAACGCGCGCGCACGCGTCCGCACACACACACACACATAGAGAGAAGGAAGAGCAAAAGAGCTTTGATACTTTAGAATCATATATCGGCGATGTTTATGACACTACCTAATGCCAATTTCGGGTTTAATCAATACTTTCTGTTTCCTCCTAGGTCAACGAATTCAAGTCAATTGAGAAGTTCAAGATATTCAACACAAACAATCTGTAAGTTGTTCTGCCTTGAATGGTGTAAACACAATTTGATGCAGCACTAACAACTTCAATCTACAGGTGGGTTAACTTGAAGGCAATTAAAAGACTTGTGCAAGCTGATGCACTCAAAATGGAGATTATTCCAAACCCAAAGGTACATATTCCCATTCTTACTCTGGTGGTTTTGGGGTTCCAAATCTGGTTTTCTCATGGCAAAACTGATTCCCTATTCAGGAAGTGGATGGCATCAAAGTTCTTCAACTAGAAACTGCAGCTGGAGCAGCAATTAGGGTATTGATTATTCAAACATGAATTATTTGCTGATTTCTAGAAATGTTGAAAAAAATTTATATTTATGTTTCCATCTGTCAACCAGTTCTTTGATCATGCTATTGGTATCAATGTGCCTCGATCTCGGTTCCTCCCAGTGAAGGCAACTTCAGATTTGCTTCTTGTTCAGGTGGACAACTTTTCCTGATATTAATACAGATTGTGGATAATGTCTCCAATTTACGCTAATATTGAATTTCTGAACATATTTTACAGTCCGATCTTTACACCTTAGCTGATGGTTTTGTTATCCGAAACGAAGCAAGAACAAATCCTGCAAATCCATCTATTGAGTTGGGGCCTGAATTTAAGAAGGTCAAAAAATCACATGTTGATTGGGTGTTGTTAGATGTGTTTATTTATAATGATCATTGTAATGATATCTAATTTGCACACCAGGTTGGCAATTTCTTGAGTCGATTTAAGTCAATCCCTAGTATCATTGAGCTTGACAGCCTTAAGGTGACTGGTGATGTGTGGTTTGGTGCCAATATTATTCTCAAGGTAATTGATATATTCTTATTGCTTTAATCTCTAATCTAAGGTTTTTCTAACATCATGTTTCATGCAGAGAAAACATAACTTAGGGGATAAAATTCTTCCTGCAATAATGGTTGTTCTTTAGAATTCAATCTTGGTATGAATATCCTAAAAAAGTCTATAGGTACTGGGTGTCTTTTTGCAATTTTTACAAGCTATTTTACTCCATCAAATGCATCGCGATGTGTTAGGTCATGCATTTCAATTCATAATTTACTGGGACGAAAAGAACAGATTAGTAGGTGAAATGAGATTTGTGCTAATTTGTTGCCAATGAGGTGGGAAAACAAAATGAGTCAGTGTTTATCTTCTTTATGTTTGAGTGCAAAAAAGAACCTGTTGCAAACTGGAAATTTTGGTGGTGCTTCACTGCCTTGATCATCAACATTCAACCATAACTGGTATCCAAAGTGCAAGACTTCTTCTATGCCTTTTAGCTGCAGTCACAATATTTTCTTTGGTCAATTTTAGTATTTTGATTAATAAAACGATGTAGTTATTATCGGTTAGGTGAGCCCTGCTAACTTTTACAGTCTGAAGAAATAATCTCTGTTTTCGATGAGAAAGAATTTCTCTTAGGATTTCCCTTGGAATTGGCTAGTAAGTTGTTGAACTTTTTGAGAGTCACACAAGGCTCAGGTTCACTTTGAAAAGACAAATGCTGAAGTTGGAGGAACTGCCTCAGAATAAGAAAAGAAATGCTAATAAGACCATAGGCTTGATAATGGGTGCGAGGAAAAGGGCATTCCATGATAGATGCAAAGATATTTAACTGATACTATTTATTGAAAACCTGTATGTGCCAAAACACCTCATACATGCATAGGAAGTTTACACAGAAGCTGGATCCTACCTCATGCATAATGATGTCTCTCATTTGCCTTTCTCGTGTCTTCACACATGCACAAGCATGTAGAAGTTTGAATTGTTTCGTGTCAACTGGAAAACTAAACCCAACCACAAATGATTTTGTTTGGTTTGTTTTTACTCTCCAAAATTTTAGTTTTGATTGGAAACCAATCAAATTTTGAATTTGGTTTTACTTTAGTTTCAAAAAATTTTAAACAAAATCCAAATTATATAATTAAAAAGTAGTCTATATAAATAATTATTAAATAACTGAAGTGTCTACTCTATTTGCCTTAGGTACCTGAGATAGATGTATATTTACTTTTTTTTCCGCTAAGTTGTATATATAACTTGTTTATTTTGTGAGAAAAATTGTTTTAAGATACATTATTATAAATATGTAAGTTAATACCGTATAGTGCAAGTGGCAGAATTCTCAAAATTCATTAAAAAAATAAGTATAAACCGAACCAAACTAAACTAAACTGAATTATTTTGGTTTGGTTGGATTTGGCTTTATTAGTTAAAACAGTTCGGTTTGGTTTCAATTTTGTAAAAATCAAATTTAGTGGTTTAGTTTGAATATCAGGTGTCATCCAAACCAAACAAATCCATTCAAAGAGAGTTTGAAAATAACACTAGAGAAAATACGTTAAGAATCAAAATTGGTCTCAAATCTAAAAAATCAAGCAAAAATTTTTACGTAATGATTATATAAATAATGATAAATAACTTAGGTAGAGTACCTTTAGGTACCAAAATACGATCAAAATAGGGAACTTTAAATCAATTTTAAAAGTCTGGTAGAAAGGAAAATAAGCTAATTAATTGAATAATCTATAATAGAGAATGACTTCTTAACAAAATAGGAATAGTACACTCATATTAATAATAAATCTATAGTTAATAATTTCTTAATGAGCCAAATACCTTAATAATGAATAGACATTACAACTACATAAATAAATCCTATTATTGAAATATGTTTACTTTTGGGTTTCCTTAATATATAAACATGACAAACACATAAAATATCTCTGATTATTGAAATATATTCACTTTATTCTTGTTCTGCATTGGTATTTTAAAAGAAAATTACTTTGAGAGAAAAAGCATATAGAGAAGAAAATACACTCTTTAGCCATTTTGTGTTATAACCTTGCCTAAAAGGTTTTTTTTTCTTTTTTTGTGTCTAGGAATTGCTACCGGAATAGATTATGATTGGTATTCGAACTAGTTTTTCTGAAACAAATTCATGAATGATATGGTAAAACTGAGTTTGTGCCACAAACAATTAGAGACATGAATGATCCAAGCTACTAAGTCTTAGTACACATACCTTACTGACCATAAGTTCATGCATGGCAACATGCTGTAGACTAACCGTGTTATCTACTTGTTGAATTCTTTATACTTACGTCTTTCACTCTATTCTACCAGTTTTTTTATATATATTTTTCTGGTTTCCCACGTCCCTTACCAAAGAACGCTTATTCTCACAATGGCTTTCTATCTGAAGGGTAAAGTGACCATCGCAGCAAAGTCTGGAGTAAAATTGGAAATTCCTGATGGTGCTGTAATTCAGAACAAGGTAAATTAGTTCTTTGATTCTTCCTTTGGTATTGTACATCATACTTTAGTCTGTGGTTTTACAGCATACCATTTTCTCATTCAGGAAATCAATGGCCCAGAGGACCTCTAAACTTGACCTGTCTTATGAGGGTATATACCCCATCCTGGGAAATGAAGACAAGAGAGTACTTTTGTTTTTGTCAGAGCGGTAATGTGTTTTGATAGGTAAATAAGCATTTATAGTTTGCTACAGTTAAAACTGTCAATGTTTATCGGGAAAGCCTCATTGAGAAAGTGATGGGCATGTTCTCCCATTCTTACTCATTGTGCTGACACTTCCCTTACATATCAGAGGTTATGATTTTCGGCTGCCCTTTTCAAATGAGATATTGATCTGATATTAGTCTATGCCTTTTTCTCCCTTCATCCTTTGTCGTTACCAGTTTTTGTTTTGGCATTGCTATTTACGCTTTACACTTCATTGAAAAACCTACAACTTTAACTTACCATTTCAAGCGGCATATAGAAGTTGGTAATTTACTGTTCTTTTTTTTGCATTCATTTTGAATATTGGCCCATTGTCAATCAAGATGATTGTGATTGCCAAAATAATCTGAAAATTATCTGTTGTATTATTTAATATGGATCCCTTATGCTTTTTGGCTGATTGCATTATGTTATTTGGTGGTACACCGTAGTCGTAGTAGCAATGCAGTGTATGTGTTGGTGAAAGTGGTTTTGGAGGTGGGCTGCTTTAGTGCAAGTGGACCTTCCTATTGATGGCTAATAGATAGTGGTGGAAATATCTGTTGTTATCATTGTCTAAGGTAATTTTCTTTTAATTTTCAACAAAAGAATTAATTTCTTTTTGAGTGAGGAAATCCAATCATTTTATTTTCACGGAAAGTAAACTTTCTGATTGTGTGATTAGAGTTTAGGACAAGTATTTTTAAGGACGGCTAATGTTTCCTATAAAATTCTTCTTATGGATGATTTCCTAACCTTTTATCAAATCTAATAAGATGGAGAATTCATTTCTACTGACGATTAATTTTACTCTTGCTAGATGCAAAATAAAATTTAATATCATACGGTGAATTTTTCATTATTTTTTGAGCTTGTTTAACACTTCGTGATTTGATTTTTTGTCACGCCGCATAAACTTATTATTGTATCTTGTCCCATTTTTGCTTTTTTTGGGGGGTTTAGCTCTGATTTTTACACGTGCACTTAATCACAGGTCTCCGTATATTCTCTAATAAAAGTACTACTTGTTTATAAAATAATTAATTATGATATTACAGTTACTGAATTAACAAAAAAAAAAAATCACTATTAAGTACAAAAAAGGTTTGAAGTAATATGGTGTTGAAGTGTAGTTGGAAGGTCGACAGGTTTAGAGGGAAAGGCGCAGTAAAGTGAACAGGGTTAAAGATCATCCTAGGAGACAAGATCTAGAGCATTGTTTCCTCCTTTCTTTGTATATCTTTTCTATTTTCTAATTATTTTCGAAAATATTATTGTGCCGAGCTAAGCACATGGCTTGTCCAAGTCAGATATCCACATCAGTTGGTACTAGAAATGGGCCTCACCACAAGTGTGTGGGCTCCTCACATTCTTTAGGGTTTAATATCTCCACCTCTCTCATCAATTATTTAATATCACAAACCACAAAGGGTAACATTCTAGACATTTTTATATTCACGAAGATGCATATATATATATATATGTATGTATCTTACTGAAAATGTTGAGAAAAATTAATTCTTGGGAATTTTCAAAAACATTGAATTAGTAGTGAAGTTTGGAGTTTGATATCCTTGACAAAGATTGTGAGATTTTTTCCTTTTTGCAAATCTTTCAATTTCAATGTGAATAATTTAGTCTTTTTGTTGTCAGCTGAAATTATTTTATCTCTATATGCAAAAACAATTACAAGATATTCTGACCTTTTAAAAAGCGTAAATCAAAATTTCCTTTAAATATATTAGAATTACTGAAATATGAGCATTTTCCTTGTACTTTTCTTAATAAATTATTCGCCCATCGTTCTCCTTCAAAAACAAAATTAAAAAAAAAAAAAGAAAAAAGAAAAGAGCGGTCAACCTTTGACTAAAGAGATGTAAGATTGGTGAACCGGAAGCGGCATTCGCTTAATTGGTTCCATGAGCAACTTCTGTTACATTCTTATCCGTGTATATGAATTGACTATTCATATATTTTTTTCATGGATAAATTATTTAGAGAATTTTTTCAAATAACTTCTAGAAATAAAGTTTATTTGTTTTAAACATAGCTTTAATGTTCTTATCCAACCTATACACAACCACAATCAAGGACTTCCGAATTCAAATCTTATTTTTCACTTTATTTTTCCTTAAATCAAAGCTTTAAAATATTGGTTAACCAAATAAAATTACAATAAGATAATGTTTAATTTTAATCATTAATTAAAATATTATAGAAATCAACAGATATCTAGTTACAAAATAATTTCTTCTCGTATTAAAAATCAGATCACCAAATTTTTGATAAATTTCACATAAAAAACTGATAGAATAATTAAATTATGATATTTATAAGATAATAATTTTTAAATTGTACATTTTAAAAAATCATGAACTAAAATATAAAATTGGTGAAAGATTAACTGTCAAACTTGTATTTAGCCCATATACTTTCTAATTGATACAGAAATATCATTTTTTTTATCTTAATTAATATAATTTTATAAGATTTAATCTGTTAAGATTTGTAACTTAAATAGAGTGAATTTATAATTTAAATACGGATAAGGTACTTATACTTATTAAATCAAATAAGTACATTAGACCTAATAGAATTATTTTGCTGTGTCCAGACTAATACCAATCCAACCCATTTTCATGAATAAAATGTGACCAATTAACCAACCAACAAAACTACTTATTACAAATAACATCTTGTTGTTGCATCGAAACATATAAATGTTGACTAATCTGGCTAACATTGAACTTGTGGTTCGAATGTATATACAAAGAATTTCTTTTTTTACACTTCTTACTATTAGATAGTGTCCATAAATTTCATGATAGGTACCCAAAGATTCATAGTGAACTTCGATGGGAGCTTCTCTTGAAGCAATAACGCACTGATCTAGTTGCCACCGAAGCCACAAAGGACTATCTCGTTTCGTACTACAAACTGAAAATTATATAAAATATGAATCCAAGAGGTTGGTTTCTAATAATTCATGAAGAAAATTAGAATATTTCTGCAATTCAATTGGATACAAAATCTAGAAATCTCAGTTTCTTTGTGTAATTGTAGCTATATGCTGTGTATTATCAACAATTTCCATAGAGGGCGGTAAAACGATGTCTTGAGCAGTTACATATCCGGGACCTTTGACATAAATAAAGGCGTCGCGAGTTCCATACAGATTACTTCTTAATACAATCTCTTTCAAATTCATTAAAATTTCATGTACTGATTCTTGAATACCTACTATGGTAGAATATTCATGTGGTATTTTCTCAGATTTTGCACGTGTAATACATGTTCCTTCTATTTCTCCAAGCAAAGCTCTTCGCATCGCAATGCCAATTGTGTCGGCTTGAACCAAATAATAATATTATGATATATATTCTTTACACAGTAAATTAGAATACTCAATAAAATTTTGAAAATGTACAGTGGCTCGTAAAAAAAGAAGCAAATAAATAATTTAAAACAAATAGATAAATGTCATAAAAGTTAGCCTTCACTAGCTCTTAAATGAGTCCGAGAGGTAAACTACTCACAACTTTCTTATTGATCGGGGTCTAAATCCTGATCCTCTTGATCTGAAATGGTTGATAGAATGGTAAGTTACACTAGCTCAGTAAGAATATCACGCTAATCATTGATACGAAAAATAAATATTGGTAAATATCACAAAACAACTAATTGAACCCTTAATTTAAATAAATTTATTTATCATGAAGAAAACTATTTATTATATACTTAGCGTTACGAGTTTTCCAAAGATCAACTTATGAAGGCCAATATCCATACAACTTTTTAATTTCACGCACAAGTAAACAATAAACAACAATTTTCTTTTCTTATCTGCTTATTGGTACCTTTGAGAGTCCATAGGGATGTCCTCTTATGCGTGAACCAAATATCTAAATTTATCAATTAACCGGTCATCTCTATACCATGTCCGGTAATGGGCGTCAAATATTCCATCGCATCGATACCTCGTCGAGTATGATGATGAATTATATCTCTCAATCTCTTCTAGTAATGGGACTTTTCAGTCCCGTACGACTGAGGTAATGTTCATGGTAGGGTCCCTTATGTACTAGGTCCGTTCGCCATTTCCTAGGATACCTAATAAGTTTTTCACATAAAAATACTCACCAACAAAACAAACACCAAGCGTATATTAACCTCTCATATCATATTCACAAATTAATTTAACGATATTTATGCAAACAATACAACTTCATAGCTTAATAACCAAGAAATGTACTTAAAGTCTTAATTTTCAACTCAGTCAATCAAATAAAAATTTCAATCAAACAATCAATAACGAGAAAGCAATTAAATGTGATAATTTAAATCAGACGGTAGAATAATAAGTAATTTATATAGTATAGAAAAATAAATAGCCACATAGACGAGTTTAGGACAGTCGTAACCTAACCGTTTTTTCGGCTCCACTAGTGACCTATAATTATTGTTAGGATTTTTTTAGTTTTTACAAAACACATAATTATCAATTATAAAACCTTCATTTACTGTAACAGGGAGTAAGGTGAGGGATCTTTACCCAGATCGGTATTTTGAAATACCAAACTGTCTACTGTACCTCCCAACAGGTCCCAAGTTTTCTGAATTTTTCCTGCAGGAACTCAAAATACTCGTCACGTACCTAAAAATACCTTAAAAAATTCAAAATCAGTGTTCAAACCCTTTCCAGCTAATTTTAGGGTTCTAGCACGGCACGGCCACCATGCTCCAGCGCTGGCTCCCGCCGCCCATGGCAGGGGTTCGCCTTTGCCCTAGCTAAATTTTGGCCAGTTTTGGCCGGTTTTACACATATTCTTATGAAAAACAAAGTGAAGAGGCTTTGGTTGGCCAGAAATCACAAAACAGAACTACTGGGAAGGAGTCTCCGAGTGTAGTAGCTCTGTCAGTTCTTCTTGCGGTTAGAGTTCTTCTTTGGCTAATCTGCACAAAAAATGACAGTGAACACAATGGTTAAAAAATTGTGTGAAACGAGAAACATGAAGGGGTTCATCAAAGAAGATTTTGGGTTTCGAATGCGGCGGCTCCGCAGGTTTTATCCATAGTTTTCGGTTCACCCAGTGCCCCTTTTGCTCCGGTATGGCTATGGAGAGACTCGGAATTGAATTCCAAGCGAATAGAGGAGAATT